CCCCCAAGTATGGAATTTTGGGGTTCTCATTTCAAGAGGCTTTTGTACAGCCATATTATTGATGCCTGCACCTAGAATTTTCCAGGTATTTCCTAGGTTCTATTCTTATGGGTAGTGGAGGCCATCTGTGTCTCCAGCCTCTTTGTGATCCTCTCTGAGTTCCATGCTCTGAAATTTCTGTTTTTCTTTCTCTGCGTGGAAGACCTTTTTTGGAGATGGTTATGACCTTTTTAGGGTTTGAATCATAAATATCCTCCAAAGGCCCATATGTTGATGACTTGGTCGTCAGCCTATAGAACCGCTGAGGTGGTGGAACATTAAGGATTTAGAATTTATTGGAGAAGTTAGGTCATTGGGCTGTGTCTTTGAAGGGGCCACTGGGACTCTGGTGTCTCCCTGTGTTTTTCCTTTCTGGCTTCTATGAGGTGAGCTATTTCCTTTTTCTGCCATTTATTCCCTGCCATGATGTACTCTGCTGCCACAGATCGAAAGCAAATAGAGCCAGGAACCATGGACTGAAACCTCGGACACTGTTAGCCAAAGTAAATCTCCGCTCCTTTTCAGTTCATTCAGCAGTGGAAAGCTAATGCATGCATACTCTTTTCCTTTTCTTCTCACATTCCCTAATTCACTTCTCCATTTACCCAAGGGGTTCCTCTGGTGCTCCGTAGTCTGTGCAGCCGGCCAGCACATCACATACCACATCATGTGATGGTGATGTGTTTACAACTTTTGGAAATTCTCTCACCCAGGATGAACCCAGCCACCCACCTTCTCCTTTGATAGCTGGAGAAAATCATGAAACAAGGCAGATGCATACTCCTCAGCTCTGTCTCAGAGCTTTCAGCCTTGCTGTGGAATATTCCTGTTTCTGTGCTTTGTCCCATTTGTCATGATTCTTTCATTGATTATCCCATCTCTTCAAACAACTTCTTCCTGTGCCCAGACTCTGTAAGTGACCTTGCCTTGTACTTCATGGAAAGGTAAATCATCTGGGAGCAACTCTCTCAGCTTCTCTTTATCAAGTCTATAAACCCATTGGTATCGGCACCTGTTAGAAGTGAAGGAACAGTCTACACCTGTGAGAGGACAGCTTTCTATGCATGATCAGCATGCCATCTCTTCCCATGTTAGAGAATTCACATCATCTTTCCTGGACTTTCACATGGGCATTTAGACACACTGTCTCTAAGTACTGATATTTCATCTTAGAGACTAAACTAAAAACTAGAAAGAAACAAGCCTTCCCCTTACCTCATGTTCCCTTTCAGCATTCATCTTGTATATTGACCTTTGAAGAAGAGCCATTCCTCTGCATGTTCTCACCTTCCAGTTATCAGTTACCTCCAGCCTTGTGGCTCTTTCCCCCACCTTGCCATAGGTGTTGCAAAGGTCTCATCCTTCTTTGACTTTGCTGAATGTTACACAGCTCCATCCCTATCTTCAGTCATCCAACACTTAGTAATGTCTAATCTCCATTGCTGTTTTTTTCCTTGCCTTAGCCTCAACTTGGTGCTTGGTCTGGGACACTTTCACTTTCTCTCCTGCTTATGTACTCGTATGACTTCACATGGCAGCTACTGGCGGATGACTGCCGGACTTACGTCTCTGATCTGATCTTCTCTCCTAGGCCGTGGACCTTGTCTCTGGCAACTCATTGTAATCTTTTGGATGTTTCGTAGAATTTCAAATTTGATGTTAGCCCTTGGTATGTTCTTCCAGCTGCTTTTCTGCATGATGTTCCTATCCCAATAGGTAGGACTTGAGGCACCTGGGTTCACAAACCTAAATCTTTCCATGATTCTGCTCACCAACTAAATTGGACAAGAACCAAATCAAATCCAATGGTTAGGTTCATTATTGACCTTATGGGAATATTTGATTTGGTTCTCATCCAGTTTGAACTGAGAACAGAATTGTGGGAGGAATTAAGTTCTTGAACTGTTGTGACGGTGTCTGAGATAAACTTAAGCAGAGATTTCTTTTGGCTCACGGTTTCACAATTTGTCTATGGTTGGTTCGCTCTGTTGCTTCTGGGTCAGTGGTAAGGCAGGCCATCATCCTAGGGAGCTTTGATGAAGAAAAGTTTTACATCTCATGGGGGCCAGGATAAAAAAAAAGACATGAAAGGGTCAGGGTCCCAGTGTTCCCTGAAGGCATGGCCCCAGTGACTAGCTTCTTTCCAGCAGGCTCTGCCTCCTAAAGGTTCCACCACATCTCGGTAATACCGCGAGGTGGTGATCAAGCCTTTTGCAGATGGGCCATGGTGGTCATGGTGGGATGGAACTCTAGATCCAAACCACAGCAGTATTCTGCTCATGTGGAAATCTGGGAGTGTCTAGAAATCTCGGCCTTTTCCACCTCCAGGCCCTTACCCATTGCTTGGACTCCACGTCCAATAAAGTATTATGCCAAATCCATCACTATTTCATCCAAGCCCTCGTCATCTCCTACCTTTACCACTCTGGAAGTCTCTTGATAAAAATTTCTTCCTGTTTTCTGCACCTTAAAACCTCTCTTCCTCATAGTAGATAACAGTAATCCATAACAGCTAACCACCGTTGTGTCAGTTCTCTGCGTAAAATACTTCGGTGACTTTCCATCGAACCCAAATTAAAATGTTAGCTGTTTCTCTACACCCACAGAGCTCAACATGTCCTGGCCCTCCTCTACCATGTATCTCTTTCTGTTAATTTCATTGTTTGCTCCGTCCCAGCCATGCTGGCATTTGACCTTTGCAAAAATAGGTAGACTCCTTCTCCCCATAATCCTTTGCCATGCTGGCTTTGGGTTGGAAACGGTTTCCCTTGTGTTTTGCACTTTTAAATTTCTTTTCCTCTTTCAGCCCTTAGCTTCACACCTTTGATGAGGCTCACACTGATTGCATTTCTCTTCACACCTCCTCTGAGGGAGTCAATGCTGTATTCCTGCTTTTACTCATTGGAAAGCATTAGTGGAATTGGCAGTGACGTATCTTATGCTTCCATGTGTCTGTTACGTGTCTCCGATACAAGATAGTAAATTCTGTGAAGGCAGGAATTATGCTTATTTTTTTAATCCTTGTTTCCATGTCACCTGGTGCTGGATGCTCAGCAGATACTTGTTCCCTAAGATCATTTATTAGGAAGGCTAGTTTGAAGGGGGCAGAACCCACTTGATACTTTTATTGCATTGTCGTCTGGTACTTAAGCTTGGGCTCAGACTTACATGACTTTGAATTTTCTTTTCTACCTTCTGTGACCTTGAGTGGTTATTATCCCTGTCATCCCAGCATGTGTGCTGGCTGAACTAGAAAAAGTGTGATCAGGAGGTGTATTCAGTAAGAATTGCAGGCTAGATTCAGATGGAGAAGCCTTAGAAAAGACATAGGTATGGGTACTTAGGTAAGTGTGCCTTAATATAGGAGGCTGTGTGTAAATTGAAGCACCTTGAAAATACATGGCAGAGTGTCTCAGATCTGCTTTTCCAAATGGAGCCAGAGCCTTCCCTGTTACTTGGGTGGTCAGGATTCTGGTCTGTGCTGCTTTATCTCTGCTGTTTGCTGCCCACCCCACCCTTGACTGGGGTTTGAACCCGGGGCCTTCACACTGAGCTATATCCCCAGCTCCTTCTAATTTTTTTTTTTTCCAAGACAGTCTTACTAAGTTCCTGGGCAGGGATCGAACTTGCAGTCTTTATTCCTCATCCTCCTGGGGTGCTGGGATCACAGGCCTGTACTACCAGGCCTGGTCTGTTCTTTAGTAATACTGCAGGGTTGGTTTGCCGTTTTGCAAGCCACATGGCCTAGAATGGACAGAGGATAAACTGAATGTATTCTGAAGATGATCCTTTGACCCTGACTACTTGTTACTTCCTTTGGTCTTGTTACTTCCTTTAGGTCTCTGTTGACCCAAGTCTGTTGTACCTACTTAACAAATTTTCTAGGTGACAGTGGAATCCCGGAGCTGGTCTGGGATAGAAAGGTCAAACTCTGGGTGTCTTGACCATGGGCATAGTGCGATCACTTTGGGAGAAGTCCCTACACGGTGAAACACGGCAGAGAGGTTCGGGTTAAACTCAGAACCCTTTGCTGTGGGCTGGGGGTGTAGCTCAGTGTAAAGTGGCTGTCCAGCTTGTGGAAAGCCCTGGATCCAGTCCCCATCACATCGCTGTGCAAGTCACTTTATTTGTTTCTGTAAGTTTAAGCTTGCATTTGGGGGGTGGGTATTTGTAAAAAGATGAATGGCTTGGTCTTGTGTAGTGTTTTGAGGTGTCCAACCCTTCAACCTGGGATATTTTCATTCTCTTAGAAATGGAAACTGAAAAAGCCTTGTTATTAAGCACGTTCTCCTTAGGTAAATGTTCCCTTCTATTTGCGTTTTCAGCATCCTGTGGCTTAGAACAAGAAGCCCCAAGTCATCCAGCGTAGGATATGACTGCGATTGTGGCCAGAGTTCCCATGTGGCTCCCGTCTTGTCCGCCTCCGTGCTGTGATGTTTGCCAGCACACCCTGCCCCGGGCCTTGGGGGCCTCTTCCTGCTCCTGGGCCTTAAATCCTCACAACATATTCTCAGCAGTGCAGGGCGAACTGGTTGTATTTAAAAGGGTGGCCACAGTCCTAGCCCTTGCCTTAATGTAGTCTGATGACCCATAAAGGAATTTATTTGAATTTTAAATTTCTGAGGAGTAGGACGAAAAAAATATCTGCAACAGAAATGTCCTGTTAATGAATGTGATAGACCCTCCGTTGTTCAGAGCCCTCTTGCTATTTCACCGAAGAGGCTGGGGTTGCGTGTCCTGGCTAGTTGCCCCACATCCTGGTCCCTGAAAATATTTCTGATGTTCCAGTGCTTTAAAAAGTTGGGAGGTGATTTAACTGTTGCACTGGCAGGGTGAGATACAGCAGTTAAATGTGTTGTTCATTTTATGTCTGGGTGGGGTGCGAGAGGGAAATGCAATCCGAATTTTTTCCTTTTTTGGAAACCTAATGCTGTGCTCTTTGTTATCATTTTGTTCTCTAGGCATTAAGTGTAACCGAAACCCTGATTAAGCCCTTGGAAAAATTCAGAAAAGAGCAACTCGGAGCTGTAAAGGTTTGTGTCTAATTCGAGTGCATTTGTAAACAGAAAATGCTGCTGCTATTGTCTGCTTTATTCACTTTTGGCAGCTTCCAGAGACATGCCGGAGTAAACCATCTGTTGTTTTATGTTTTGAGTGTGCTTTTTTTCCCCTCCTTTGGAGAGATGAAATTAAAAACAAAACAAAAACACCTGGACAGAGTGGTAAAACCTCTAGCAATCTTGTTTGGCCGCACTTTTCTATATAAAACTTAGGAAATATCTAACCAAACAGCACATTTGCTCGGAATAGAAAGCTCTTACCACGACGGGGAGCGTAGTTACTTCTCTGTATACCTCTGTTTTATGGAGGAGGGTAGCAGTAAAACAGGGTTTGAAGATGAGAGACGCTGTTCTACCGTGATGCCCTTAAAACTAGGAAGAGAATATTAAGTTAGAGGGATGTAATTTCCTTCCATTTACCAGAAATTTATTAAGCTTCTGTTATGTGCCAGTATTTCTGCAGTATTGTGTATTGTTTGTGCTGGGATTCACAGATCAGGGAAGCAGAGACTCTCTGCTCAGTGATCTTGGATTAGCCAAGATTTCCGAGCATAACACAGTGACTTTGCCACAGGGGTCCTGGAATATAATTAGCAACTTCTAAGGTTTGTGAGCTGAGCTTTGCAGTTAGCCATTCCAGAGAAATAATTTCCACCACTCGTTCCTGAATTTTCTGTATGTATGTGAGGAGGGGGGGATAACATTTGTGTGTTGTTGATCCTGTTTGGCTTGGGCCATGGAGAAGATACTAACATCAATTTAAGTAGGTGAGAGAGTTTTTATACTTGTAATTTTTCTCCCATGTTGTAGCTGGGGATGTAAGGATTTCTTAAATATTTCCCTAAAAAAACCCAAAAGACAAAAAAACTATTAAAACCCCTTGGTATAAATAATCGCGGTTGCCTTAGTAGCTGGAACTACACACATGAGCCCAAAACATCCCAACTTTTCAGTTGCTGTTTGCAGTCTCCATTTTCCTTTAAGTGACTTGTTAAACTGTTGGGCATTTCTGTTTGGCCCAGAATTTTACAGTTTTTAGTGAAGGACTGTGAATTGAGGTTCAGGCCAGAAAGGCCAAGGGTGGTGAGCACCCCCACAGGCCTGATGTTTGCTGAGACACATGCAGCTCGATTGGCTCCCCCGGCTGCGCAGCAGATTGGAGGCCATATTTCCCCTCTGTGACTTTGAGCGAAGAGTTGACTCTGTCAAATGAAGGATTTAGAGATCTGACAGTTGTTTTGTAGTTTGAGGGTTCTGCTTTCTCTGACCGTGTCTCCTTAGGCTGTTCTGAAGCTTGAAAGGATTGGTTCTTTTACCATTTCATTGACAGCTAGATGGACACAGGGAACATATCTTATTCAACTGGAGGGTGATGGGAGAGGGCAAAGATGGTATTATGAAGATGAAAAACAAGTGCATTTTAAATGTGTGTGTATATAATGTATATATTTAAGTGTATTTTAGTACGCTGTCCGCCCTAGTGGGTTTTATCTATTTCTGACCTTCAGTGGACTTTTCCATTGACCCTTCCCATTGACTCTGACATAATGCTTTCTTGCAGAGCAGCTTATAAAATAAATTGTCCTTTTAAAAGGCCAAAGTATTTTTGTTCTGTCTGTGCCTGGCCCTGTGTAGTGACCACATTCTATCCTGATGCCTTGTGTATTTATCCCGTCATTGTGCTTCAAGCTGATGAAGGATGTTTCCTGCATCCTTGTTCAATGGAGTGTGTTTCGCCTGGGTACAATAGCAGTAGCTCACACCTATGAATGTTTCCTGCAGCGAGCCAGTTCTGATGGGTCCCATTGCAAATACAAACACTACCTACCTAAGGCTGATGTTCGTGTGTTCTATGTAGACCAAGCCAAAATGGTCACCAAGCTTATTTTTAGCTGACAGTTTGTTATATGTCATAATAAACAGAGAAATGTGGTTATCTATTATATAGTAATGTATAATCATCTGTCTTTTCCATTACATTGTTAAATCTTTAAAACACTGTGCTTTATTTTTTATTTCTACCACCCTCTACTCTGCTGTACTGTAGAAGATAATCTAATAAATGAGTCAACTAATAATTGTGTAAGAGCCAGGATAAGGTGTGTAGTTTGGCTATTTGATCCGTGTATGTCTGTGCTTCGTAAACGTCAAATGCTATTTTGACAAGTGTACACTCTTGTTCCTCTGGTCGATCTGTTTATATATGAGGTACTTAAAAAACACTTTGTTAAGCTGGGCATGGTGGTGCACACCTGGAATCTTAGCTTTTAAGGAGGCTGAGGCAGGAGGACTGCAAATCCAAGGCCAGTGTGGGCAACTTAGCCAAGACTCTGTTTCAAAATAAAAATTGAAAAGGCCTGGGGATGCAGCTCATGGCCTAGCATGTGTGAGGCCCTGGGTTCAATCTCCAGCAATATAAAAACAAACAAGCCAGAACACTTTGTTTTCTTCACTTAAAGACCTTAAACAAACAAACAAACAAACAAACACAAAATAGCTTTTACGTGGGGCAAAAAAAAAAAAAAAAAGTATTTTTAAAAATTTACCAGGTCAGAATTTTTAGATGCCTGTCAACATTTTTATCTTCTCTGTTCCTTTTCGCCCCTGCCAATGCCTTGTCCTTCACCTGTCTGTCAGAGCTCGTTTGGTTCCAGGGGCTCCTGCCTTTTCCGTTCTCCGAAGGCTGATTACACGTTTGTGTGGTTCAGTGTCATCTCAGCTGTGGGTGGTTTTTGTGGATTGGAGCTTTAGAAAGCTGCGAGGTATTCTCTTCCCCTTGGCTCCTGTGGAATGTGCCCTCCTGAGCCGCATCTGTTGGGCTTGACCTCCGCCCTCTGGGCAGTGGGCTCTGCTGTGTTTCCTTATAGGCTTCTACATTCTCACATACCAAGTTGCTGTTCAGGGTTCTCTTCCAGGCTTGCTTCTTCTTACCTCCTTTTACTCTTTCCGCCCTGGAGAGCTTGTCACCGTAATTCTGGTGGATCACTTTATTTCCCTTTGGCTTTTTACTTCACAGCCATGAGACTTTCTTAGCCAGTGCCCTCGGGTGCTGGGAAGTTTCACCACCGGAAACTAAATTGGGGGCCGAACAACATAGACGTCAAGCAATCTCTCAGCAGTACCAGAGCATGATTTAACTGGAGAATTTAAAATTGCTCTTTTAGACATCTGCCCAGTTAGTACCATGTGGTTTAGACAAGCAGCATGCATGTAATCAAGTGGATGCAACTAACTTTTTGATCTATGTTTGTATGTATTTATATACTTACATAATTTTTTTCTTTTTGTGCGTGTTACTGAGCATTGAACCCAGGGCCCCACAAAAGCTAGGCATGTGCTCTTCCACTGAGCTCCTGAGCCAGCCCTACTTAAAATTTTATTTTGAGACAGGGTCTTGCTAAGTTACACAGGCTGGCCTTGAACTTACAATCCTTCTGTGTGAGCTTTTTGTGTACACCTCCTCTAATCTGGATAACTAAACTGTATTGACAGTAGTCTATTCAGATGCCATCTTGAGAGAAGCCAACTATAATTTCACTCAACAGGATACAATTTTAAGCAGAAGGGATGAAAAAAATGCTCTTTTCCTATGTGTGATTTATCATTTTGCCTCATGGACACTTTTATCCGATTCTCACCTCTGATTCTCTTTATTGTTCTTTCCAAGTCTTTATCCGATGAATACATTTTAAATCAAACCTGGCTTGCCAAGATTCTGTACATGACTGTAAAATAGTAGCGAAAACCAGACAAGCTTGAATAACTTTCTCCAATTATATTTGATAAGCAGATACGTTACTTGGATTTAATTCTGTTTATTTTAGCAATAAAATAGACATTATTGCCTATCCCATGGCATAGTGTGAGAGGCCCTGGGATATAATAGTGAGTTGAAGCACTAGCTGCCCTTCAGGAATGCAGCAGCTCTATGGGAGGCTGTGACATATAAAAAAAGCAGTACAAATGCACCATAGGCGTGGTCATGGGGCTCTGTAATGCACTCTGCCACCTCAGCTCTGGGACACCTGACAGGCTCAAAGGAAGGCTGGCTTCTTCCTGGTTTGAATCCTTTCCCAGACTTGAATGAGCTGTGTGAACTGAAGACCTCTGAACTTCTGCCTTCTTATCTGTGAAATGAGGCCCGTTGCATCTGCTTTGGAGGTTATTGTGAAAATGGAATGAACCTGACAACATACTTCGTGTGTCTGGTACAGGGCCTGCTGTACAGCGCTGCAATTATTTTTGTTCTCCCATTTACGGCGTGCGTTCTGTCAGCTTGCCAAAGAACGGCTCAGGTTTTTTGTCCTGTGCCCCAGGACACAGGCTCTGCGCCCCAGCCTTCAGGATGACTCACCAGACAGAGCCTGCTGATTCTGACTGTCCTCGCCAAATAGCGCAGAGGGGCTGGGTGGATGGAATTCAGGGGCAAAAAGATTCAGGAAGCAACAGAGCACTGCTCCAGCCATGAGCTGCTGTTCATCTGCCCAAGACAGATTCCTCCCGGGCATGTGCTGGGGGCGGGGTGGAGGGCTGGATTCTCAAGGAAGAAAAGCTGAATTTCTATCTCTTCCAAGAGGCCAAAGGAGGGAGCTTAGGGGAATGGGAAGAGAAGTGTCAGGACTCTGCTTAGCTTGGGTTACAGAATTGTGTTTTAAAGAACATTTGTGCTGCTGATTGCTTGCAATGTGCATTTTGTTTTCATGTGCAGGTATTATCCTACCTCTTCATTTAAATAAGAAAGGAGGAAGAGTTGGAGTCTCTTAAGGATTAAGCAGGCCTGGGGGTGCATTCATGTAGTCCTAAGTACTCTGGAAGGCTGAAGCAGGAGACTCACAAATCTGAGCCCAGCCTGGGGAATTGAGTGACTTAGTGAGGTCCTGCAGCAGCATCAAAAGTGAAAGAGGTGGGGATGTTGCTCAGTGCAGAGGCCCTCTTGGTTCAGTCCCCAGCACTGTGTGAAAAACACCCAAGAACAGCTTTATCTTCTTCTCCAGATTACTCAAACATGAAGTAATTTTTTAATGTGTATAGCTCAGAAATAAGCCCTTTCCCTTCCTTATCTTAGAAGATTTGTAAAATGCAGAAAACTCAAAAAGTAACCCAGTAACTTCTTCCTACTCCCAAAAGGAACCAAAAAAATTCTGTTACCTACAGAAAAATGGATCAGTTAAATTCAAATTTTTATGGATTGTTCATCCAGCTTTGCTTTTGCAACAAGAAAAAAATCTTAAAAAACACGGAGTGCTTTATGTGTTAAGAATGTTTTCTTTTTTTCTGACACAGTGGTTGCGGGTGCCCTCACTGTACGTGTTAGCCTAATTGTCTAATTTCGTGTTGTTTTTTGATTTTTATAGATTCTTATGACTTCATTTTTTTTTCTTGTTTAGAAATTTCTTACTCTAAGATCTGGTGAAACAGATACTCTCTATTGTAGCTTCACTTTTTGCTTGTGACTCTTTTAAATTCATCTGGAATTAATTTTGATATGAGGTGGAGTTCTCTCTGTTTCCCAATAGTTACACAATTATACCAGCACTGTTGTTTGAATTTTTTCGTGCAGTGACTTCTGGTAGAATATATATATATATATTTTTTTTTTATAGTAATTGAAAGATCTGATTATTTCATTGTTTATTTTTATGAATGCCCCCTGCCAAATAATCATACAGCATAGGTTTTATTTGACCAATTTTACTATTGTATTTTTTCTTTATGATTTTTTTTTGCACATGCAGTTTTTTTGTTTGTTTTTTTCCGGTACCGGGAATCGAACTCACAACCTTGCACTTGCCAGGCAGGCGCTGTGCTGCTGAGCTAAATCCCCAGCCCCTCCACATGCAGTTTTATATCTCTTTATAAGCTAACTTCTTGAGAGTTGTGTTTTACCTATAAACATACATTTTGCTTGCTTAGGTTACTCGTTTATTATGTTCATGCATTTTATCAGCTACCAGTTAAAAATCAGTAGGTTTTTCACCTATTCCTGGAAGAGGCAGCCTGGGCAATGCGTTTGTATCATGTCATCGGCAGGGCAGTCCCTGGTGAGCTGGTGTGGCCCCTTGTCTCCAGAGTGGCTGTGACTATCCACCTTCCACTGCCCACCTTTCCTTCATATATTCCTTTTCTAGTCAGCTTCACTCATTGAACTACTCCCTGGCCCAGATGCTTTCAAATTCCTAATGTCTGTTTTATAAGAAACATTTTCAGTTAATTTGATCGTTTAAGGAGCTTCTTGGATTATGCTGGTCAATTTATATTCCATCTCTTTATTGTAATGCGCTGTTGGAAAGAAAAATGCCCCATTCTTTATTGCTCCTTGACAGCAGTCTTAAAATTCTTATTTCAGCACAAGAAATCATATGAGTACAAAGAAACAAAATAATATCCTGTAATCACATTCAAAACAAGTGCATGCAGAAATCATTATTCGAGTCTTGGGAGTTCAAAACAAAACACAGTGGCATTTGTCTAATACCATAACATGTACGAACAAGTGCATTTCTATGCTAATTGGTGGGTGGTGTGTTGTTTCTCGGGCTAAATTCTTCCTTCGGGAAGCCTTGTGTGGCAGTTTTCTTTCATTCCTGACTTTACCCACATGTGAACTTCCACCCCCCCCTGGTGCTGAGTGAGCCGGGTGTTTTGTCTGCTGACTTGAGCTTGCTCCTGCATTTGTCCCTTTCTGTCATTGCAGCGGCATCAGATAAGTGAGTAAAAACTTGTTGTGTATTCCTGGTGAGTACTAATCTGTAAAGACTGAGAGCGCTTCTGCGTTTCTTACCAGGTAATTTGCAGCCTGGCTTCCACTCCGAGATTCTTTTTAAACCTGAGAAACTGATGCTCAGGAAATACTGTGAGCGCAGTGTAAGGTCACCTCCATAAGTGACCAGGACTGGAACCTCAGTCTTAGACTGTACTCCACACTATCAGCTTTCTTAAACTAGCTGAGGTTTTGAGGTACTTAGCATATATTTGTTTCAGTTCATTTACTTTTATTAAAAGTTGGTGAATAACATAGTGAAAAGCAAAAAAGAGTATGTAATAGTAATAGCTTAGATTTAAAAAAATTCTATAAAATAAAAATGCCCAGGTCATAAAAAAATAAAGGACTGTGTTTCAACAAAAGAGGTTAAAGTAAGACTGCTTGTTTCTGTGTTTCTTTTTCTCGGAGATGAACCATGGGATTACCTAGAATGAGTCAGTACAGAACAATCTCTGATCATGTTGATAAGAAAATTTACGTTCTGTGCTGTCAGATTTTTTCTCTTTGAAGTTGTGCAAGTTGAAAACTAGATTTAGAGCAGACATGGGAAGAAATACCGGTTCCTGAATCTCTCCTCCATCAATCTGGGGATGAATTTAGGCGTCTTTAGATGACCTGGCTAAGGATGTCCGGTGCTTGGTACCAGCACAAGTTTGCAGCCCCCAGTGACCTCAAGTGGGAGGAGATAAATTCAAAGTGTGTGTGTGTGTGTGAGTGTGAGTGTGTGTGTGTACATGCAGAGCAGTAGGATTGACATTCTTCATTGATTTTGTGCCTAAACTAGAAAACTCATACCAGCAAAGGCAAGAATACTTCACCATCTTTGCTTTAGAAAAAGTAAGTGAGAAAACAGAAGGGAAAGTTCCTGTCCAGGAGGCTTGGAGAGTTTGAAGCGATGGAAACATTTTGACACAGTGAGGACATACTGTGTTCCCACTGATGCTCAGAAATGTTTATTGAAAACCTACCAAGCTTCCAACAACTTGAGGGGAGATGTTTCTCTTTTTTGCATTCAATAGTCTGGTCAGTTGTTTTTCTCACCAAGCTGCTATAGTGAAAGAAAAGCAAATGTAGCTCTAGGCAGTACCTGAGAAAAGCTTGTAGTGTTAGCCAAAGGAGCTGAGCCCTAGCAGGTCAGTATTATTTCACTGTTGACCTATTGATGTACATTCTAAGTAGTGTCACCGAAATCACTGGCGAAGTCCGAGGGGGTCAGTGATGTATCTGGCCAGAGGCTGTTACTGTTACATTCATCTTGGACCATTGAGGCAAGATCTTTCCCAGGATGTGTTTTCTAAAAGTGATTAATGTGATCTAAAGAAAACAATCTACAGCAGGATTTGCTGAATTTTAAGACTTGCATTTCTAAGGCAAAAGCTGGACCAAGATTGCTTTCATAAGCTTTATGTTCTTTTATTATGTGTTCTTGTGTATTCTTCTTGGTATGTAGCATGGTAAGTATGAAGATTTGAAAAATAACAGACTTGGGAAAAAACTCATCAATGGAAAATAAGCAAACTGTCTACGTACTAATGCTGACTGATTTATAAGTGGTGACCTGGGTTCTGCAGATGTTTGTCAGATAGCACCATCACACCCAGTACTACTTTGTTTTGTTCATAGATATTTTTCATATTTTGAGCTTCCCAGTGGATAAATGTGTGCATAAATTTTTTTGTTGTTGTTTAATCACAGTTGTCTTTTTTTTTGATTCATAGGAAGAAAAAAAGAAGTTTGACAAAGAGACAGAGAAGAATTATAGCCTAATTGATAAACATTTGAATCTATCAGCCAAAAAGAAAGACTCACATTTACAAGAGGTATTTTTCCTGTTAATTCCCCTGTAAAAAACACTACAGCCTTTTTAAAAATATGCTTTATATCTGGAAATTTTCCATCTGGGATTAAATATAGAGATAGATAGAACAAGTTTTATAGTAAATGAAGGAAAAAAATTTCCTATGAATCTGGACCAGATAGTGACTCTGTCTGATAGTGATTGACTAAACATGGATTCATAGTAGTAAAATTTTTGATACAGAGTTCTTTTTTAAGAAGGACAATTTTAGCAGCCATTACTGAAGAACAGATACATTTTGTGTAAGAATAGATCTCTTCATTGGCTTTCAAAATTTCTGGAAGAAATGACTTCAATTCAGCAAGCTTTTGTAGTACCATTTTACTTTATGTGAAGGCTGCGTAAATCTTATTTAATGCCCAGTACTCAGGAGGTTCAGCTTTGTTGGAAAGAGAACATTCATTTCACTTCTGTTAGTAGACTTTTTTTTTTTTTTTTGAGAGAGCCCTCTGGAAGGAGAGAGGAATTTATGTTTTATCTCTGATTCTTCCCTTTCTAAGATCCCTTGATATTGTTTTTCTTACTGACAGGCTTGAATAGAAAATTCAGTTGATTGCAGTTTGGAACATAGGCTTTAATTAAAAATAAGTCTGTTTCAGTTTAGGATCTAGACTTATCCCACAAAAGTGTGATCTTCTTTTTAAAGCACATCAGGTATCTGGTTGTAATGCACCAGTATGATATGTACTTACTGCAGTATCATCTCAATGACACTGGCAGCGGCGTTGACTATTGTAAACCCAGGCTATATTTCAGTGTCAGATACTGGTTGCAAGCTGTTGTGTATATGACCCTGTGTGGTTGGTTTGACATTATCCACATGTGACATTTTCTTTTGTCTCTCTGATACCCTTGACTGGCATTTGGATGGCACTTGGTGGAATATAAAGAGAAAGGACCTTTATATCACTTAATCCTCACAATAATACTTGAGCTAGGGCTCCATTCTCTCTGTGTTCCATGTTGTGTAGAAAACCATGCAGTGTTTACAGGTACTCCCTCATCTTCTGCCCTTTGTCAGTTTTACGATGACAGCTGTTGCTTTTACAGCCACATTGTTAGCAGGTTTTACTTCTGGTCTCCATTTACTCTCTGGGATTTGGAAGAGGATGTTTATGCTCCAAGTAAATATCCATCTCCACTTCACTTTCCCATAGGAGTCTTGTTCTAACTGTTGCCTGTGCAGAACGACAGGAGTCGTCCTGGGTCCTTTTCTGTCACTCTCCACATCCAGTCCCTCAGCAGATGTCATCTTGAGCTCCAGAACACACTGAGAGCGCGGCTGCTTCTTATGACCTGCCCTCCTCCAAGTCCTAACTGTACCCCCAGAGCCCCAGGACCTCCATGGCCCTATTGTCTGTGGTCGCCCCCATGGGCAGGCGTACTCCTGGCACGGTGCTGTTGCATGTCTTCTTCGTCGCGCTTAGTTTTTATTTTTGGTGCTAGGGCTGGAACCCAGGGCCTCAGTGCATACTAGGCAAGTGCTCTGCCACTGAGTACATCCCAGGTCCTGCCCTGTATGTGTCCACCCTGCGTCCACACACTTTGCTCCTTCAGATACCCTTCCAAATACTTCCTACCTAGGGGACACCTCACTTTTTTTTTGGTAGTGGGAATTGAACTCATAACCTCAGGCTTGCAAGGCAAGTGCTTATGCCACTGAGCTATATTCCCACCTCTAGGACACCTGATTAGAGAAGCTATCCCTGACACCCTGTTTAGAATTTACCCCTTACTCTACCTTTTTTTGTAGTCTTGCAGCTGTTTAACATACCATGCATTATTTTGTTACATGGCTTCTTCCGCCAGCATGTGAGTTTCTCGAAGGCAGCAGTGTTCCTTGTTCATTTACTATCTTCGCTGCCTACAGTAATGTGGGGTGCAGTGGCATATGCTGAAGCAGGAAGATGATGAGTTTGAGCCCAGACGGAACACTTTAGTGAGACCATGTCTCAAAAAATAACAAGCAAAAACTGAGGCTCTAGCTCACTGTGAAGGTCTTGGAGTCAATCCTTAGTGTTTTCAAACAAAAACAAAACAAGCAAAACCTACCTCTGCCCCTCAGAAAGAAAATCCCTTACATGAATATGTAGAGAAAGCAAGTCTGAAGGTGTGTCTGTCACTACAGGTTCAGCAATCCCAAAGATAATTATACTCCATATCAGGAATTTGAAGAGACCCTAGAGGTGGATAATTTGGGTTTTATTTGAATTACATATGCTTTTCTATTTTGTTTTTTTTTGAGACAGGGTCTCGCTATGCAGTTCAGGCTGGCCTTGAGCTCACTTTGTAGCGCAGGCTGGCCTCGAACTCGCAACGATCCTCCTGCCTCAGCCTCCCGAGTGCTGAGGGGTTACAGGCGTGCGCCACCACGCCTACCTTCTGTTTTGTTCTGTTTGCAAACATACAGACCCCCATGTAAAGTAGCCATCTATTGAGAGGGAGAGGAGGTGTCTTACAGGACATTTGATTGGGCTATTCGTTACTTTTTGCCAGTTGGCAAAGACCAGAAAATCACTAATGAATTGACTTGAGGTGGTCCAGAGAGTGATAAACATTTCTGAGACTAGCACCGAACAAAGGCATGGACATGAGTGTAATTTATAATTTCCTCTTGTTTTAAATGAAAATAGCAGCAGAAAATTGTTGTATACACCATGCTGGCTATTCTTGTAATCCTATTAGCACTTGCTGCTTTGTTTATTGGGCTTAATAGCTTCCACCTTCCTTGTCATCCCTAAATTCTACTTAATATTTGTAGTATTACATATCTGAAAGAGTTGTTTGTGAAGTGTATTTTCTTCCTTGAGATGCCAAGTGATAATATTTCAATATAAATATTACTAGAGAAGTAAATCCTTTTTTTTTTTTTTTTTGATAGGTTTCTCTCTATGCAGTTCAGGCTGGCCTTGAGCTCACTTTGGAGCCCAGGCTGGTCTTGAACTTGCAACGATCCTCCTGCCTCAGCCTCCTGAGTGCTGGGATTATAGGCATGTGCCACCATGCCTGGCTAGTAAATCCTTTAAGTAACTGTGCAAGAGTCATTTTACACACATTGATTAGTCTTACAGCAAGAACTTCTAAAAATTAATCATCAAGTGGAAATTGTATGTTTGGTAATTAAAATGAGTTAACTTTTGGGGAGTATAGTATATTAGTGCATTTTGTGTTGCTGTAACAAAATACTCAAAGCTGGACATTTTATAAAGAAATGGCTTATTTAATTTATAGTTCTGAAGTCCAAGAGCATGATTTTGGTATCTGCTTGGCTCTGGTAAGGGCCTCATGTAGATGCCATCACATGGTTGGAATGTGACATCCACAGGGAGAGTAAGGCTTGTAACAACATGGTCTCCCAGGCACTAACCAGGTCTGGGAGATGTACCTGCACTGGTACTTCTGGGAGTTGTATCCCCCTGTTATCTCGTTACCATTCCCAAGGCCATACCTATTAAAGACCCAGTGAGGACACATGGAGGCCAAGCTGCTGTTACATGAACTTATGGGGGACACACGCAAGCCATGTGCAAGTCACAGTGTGTGGTGAAAGGAGAGCGATGGCCTTTTGGGCTTGGTTAGGGTGAAGGAAGTGTGTGCTGAAAGTCAGGAGCTATCTATGACCCCAAGTTTCAGATGACTTCATTGTAAAGCAATGGCACACAATTCTGGACACTTGGAACACTGAGGGGTGGTGACAGAGCTCCTGGCAATGCGAGGGTCGTTGCAGTAGCAGGAACTACCAGCAGAATCAGCTAGAAGACAAAATCAACTTGGGAAATTTGACCCTTGTATAAAATTTTCTTAAGGACTTTCCTAGTAATAATAACATGAAGAAACTGTGCTCACCGTCTCATGTATTTATTTTACTCAGTACTCAACAAAACTGCAGTGTTTTTGCTGGGCCTTCTAGGCTTTAACCGCTAGTGAACAGTTAAACTCTGGTTATTGGCACAGTTACATTGTAGTTTTGAGGTAGAAAGAATTCAAGCATTATTTAACTGAAAGCATCTGATGGTAACATTTGTAATTAAATATTAGAACAATACTTTCATCTTCAGAAACCTAGCAAATAATTGTTACAAAATACATGTAATTAAATTCCATTATGTTGTTTAGTAGTATTAAATACATTCACATTGTTATACAGTTATTGCAACTTCTATCACCAGAACTTTAAAAAAATCTTCCCAAACCAAAACTCTGCACCCATAAACAATAACTCCCTCCCCACGCAGCCTCCCCCCATCCACTGAGATTGTGACTTAGATTTTTGGTATTTTACGTACTTGGAATCATGCAATATTTGTCTTTTTAAAATCTAATTCATTTTTCTTATTATATAGCATGTGTCGGAATGCAGTCCCTTTTAAAGGCTGAATGATACTCTGTTGTGTGTATGCATCACATTTTGTGTGTCCGTTCATCTCTCGATGAACACCTGGATCACTTCTACCTTTTGGCTCCTGGGAGCATTGCTGCCGTGAGCACAAGGGTCAGATAGCTACTTGCGTCCTTTCTTTTAATTCTTTTGGATCCCTAACCAAACATGGGGTTGCTGGACTATATAGTAATTCTAATTCTTTGAGGGGCTGCCATGTTTTCTGCAGCAGCTGCAGTATTTTATACTCCCATCTATAATAATGTGCAAGACTTCCAATTTCCTGCACCCTCACCGCCTCGCCACCACTTCCTTTCTCCTCCTTTTTAATGTGGTGTGCGCATGCACACGTTTACGTGTTTGCATGCGCGTACCTGCGTGTGTGCGCATGCTCGCGTTTACGTGCGCTTGCGTGCGTGTGTTTGATGGTGGTCGCCCTGATGAGTGTGAGGTATCGCCTTGCGCTTCCTTCTTGATTAGTTGTGCCTCTCCTCATGTGCTTGTTAGCTGTTTGTATCTTTTGTGCAGAAATGCCCAGATAAATAGATTTAACAGTAAAGTTAACCACGTTGGGGAAACAGTACATCACGCCTGCTGGGGATGTTTCTGTGAGGGGAATTCTTTCCCCACTGTTCTGTGGGACATCTCCCCTCGCAGTTCCTTTCCAGTGAAGCCAGAAGCCGGCGCTGTTGGGTTGGAATGGTCTCCTGGCCATCTGGTGCCCCCTGCACTCCAGAGCACGGGATGTTGTGAAGGCTTAGGAGGGTGACCGCCCACGGGCTTGTTCGTGCTCCTGTCACGTGATATGACTGTACGGGGCCGCCCTTGGCTCAGTTGTGGTGGGCGGTGGGCAGGGGGTGTTTCGTCGGTGGTGGTCGGCATTAACGCACAGAGCCAGGGCCAACAAACTTCCTGTAGTGTGCTAGCAGCTGTTTCAGACTTTTGGGACCTTGAGGGCCCTGCTGCAGCCCCTCACTTCCGTTGTGGCCTGACAGGATCCACAGGTGAGAGAGGAGTGAAAGGACGTTATTTCCAAGGACAGGCAGACGCCAGACGGGGCAGTGGTCTGGAGTGGGTCCGCCTGGTGGAGCGTTTCACCTTTTTTCGTGTCTCCCGTTTGACTAACCTCAACCTGTTTTACCACAGGCGGATCTCCAGTTGGAGCAAAACCGGCAGCACTTTTATGAACTGTCTCTTGAATATGTCTGTAAGCTTCAGGAAATACAAGAAAGAAAGAAGTTCGAGTTTGTGGAACCTGTGAGTATTAGAGCAAGTTTTGCAGTAGAGTTGTGAGAGGCCGCCATGTATGAACGTGGAAGATGCCGTCACACATGGCCAACGGTGGACACGGTCGGAGTTAAGGGTCTTCGGCCTTGGTGACACAACCGTGTGTAGGACTGTTGCTCCAGGGCTGCTCTGGCCTGTCGTTTCTAACATCTTTCTTGTAGCACCACCATTTAAAAATCCCTCTGAAAGAGTTTGTATTAGAATGTGACTGAAAGTGGTCGTGTTTTATGGGAGAAATCTTTAGTCAGGTTTGCGCAAACTTTGATTTTCTTAAACAGTAATTTTTATCCTGATTTCTAGAATAACTCACAATTCTATGGTAATCTAAGTGGAAAACCTATATGTGGGACATTTGAAGCAATTTTGTGAGTGAATTTCGCATTTATTTTATATTAGAAACACATGATTTTTGCCTTTGATTACGTACATGCAGGTATTCTTATACACACAGTGGTGTATTTATGATCAAATCAAACTAAAGGATATTTCATAGTGTGGATTTTAGCAAAATAAATATTGGAAGTTGCGATTCTCAAGTTTAACTGTAATACAAATTTTTAAAAAATTTTTTCTTTAACAACTTTATTGGGCTGTAGTTGAAGTGTACGAAAGTTTACTCTTTATGTGTGTGATTTCGAGAAGGAAAACTGCCAAGCTATGATTAATTAAGAATTAGCCAGATGAAGCAATAAAATTGACTTAATTTAACTTCCTCTAAAGTTTTCCTTGTATGTGAAATAATAGTGTATTTATTGGACATTTACAATGCTCTGTCATGGTTCAAGTAGTTTTAAGTTCTTAGTTGTTCTGAGTACTATACTGCATTCATTCTTTCTTCCATGCTGTAACTCAGTGAGATGGTCTTATTATCCCACTTGGTAAATAAGGAAATGAAGTAGAGTGAGTATCAGTACTTTTGCCCAAGGTTCCATAACAAGTGATTGCTGAGGTTGGTAATGGGCTTGGCCATTTGATGTCAGCGCCTCAAATTCCCAAATACCGTGCAGTGTTGGGAAGAAAATGAGTATCAGTATTTTCATGACTCTCTCTCTAGGTCAGTGTGACTCACTCTGGGTACACTTAACACATGGGGCTGAAGTCTGCCCTCTAATTAAGAGGGGCAGGCCGGGAGTTGGTACAGAACTAAGAGTTTAATTACTATCTTACCTTTGCCCTGGGCAAGTTACTGAACATCCTTGTCGACAAAACAGAGGTTGTAGCCCTTGGGTGCCACGGGAGACCTGAGCTCTTCGATTCGGTAATTTTACTTGCTTACAGATTGACCTACGTGGTTAAGGTTTAAGTTCCTAGTGAATGTTGAGATGCTCTTGACTACTATGGACAAATGAATGACTTACACTTATATTTTTCTTATAGAGCATGCTATAAAAATTGACTAATGGTGCTGATAGGTGAAAAAAGTCTCATTTTCTGTAAAGATAGTTAGTAAATAATGTGCAGTGATAGAGACTTGAATTCTAGTGACTTTCTGTGTATTACCTCAGTGGAAGGCAATGAGGTGAGAGGGAAATACTGGGATAGTGATAGGAATCTTTTTTTGTTGTGCTCTTGACCTTTTCTTTGTGCTAATTGCCCTCTTTCTCCTTTGTTTTAGATGCTGTCATTTTTTCAAGGAATGTTTACTTTTTATCATCAGGGCCATGAGCTTGCCAAAGACTTCAATCACTACAAGATGGAACTACAAATCAACATTCAGAATGTAAGGAACTGGAGGCTTTCTGGTGTTTGACAAAAATGTTTGGAGTATGTACTCTTCGTGTGCTTGCTGTATGGGAATCCTTACACTTAAGAGCGGACTGAGGCCTCGGGAATGGGAAAGTGGGGCTCTGTTGCCACCTAGTGGTCAGCTCTTGGTGTAACAACTGCTCTTTTGTTAAATCAAGGCTCAAGAAAGTCTGCCCCCTGGCGGCTCTTCCTGTGCGGTGCTAAGGAAAACTGGTCAGCTGTGCCTGACAGTGCCAACAAAGCATGCTGGTTTAGGGTTAGAGCTTTTAAATGACAATGAGTTAATTGCTCCTCATGATTTTTATTCCTAGACAGACTTAGGGCACAAGGGGAATTTATCCCCTGCATTTTAGGTACGTTGACTAATGTGTTGATGCTTTTGGTCTTTGTGGTTTTCTTTTGGAAAACGCGTGCTGTCGGTTGTTGGGTACAGAGATGTAGACACTTCGTTAAGCATTGTGCTGTGTGTGATTTTGCTTAGGTGATGAAACCTTTTTCCACTCAGCATCACGTGTCAGTTTCTGCTTGTAGGTTGCATAGATGTTTAGCTGGGTTCATGTACATAGAATTCTTGAATAGATTTTCATTTTCTTGTGACTGGGGTCCCGAGATGAGCAGAAAGAATTTTAAAGTGTACGGTATGAGTATAACATAACAAAATTTTAAAAGGAGAAACGGACAAATGTCAGCCTGCTGAAAACCCTTTTTCAATATCTTTCTGTATTTTCCGAAACTTCAAGTTGATATATGGTGAATCGCTCTAAATCCTCACTTTTTCCAAATACTCTAGCTTGGCTTCATTCTCGTATAAGCTGTTCTTTCTGTCCCACTCGCCTTTGCTGTTGAGAACACTTGCCCTTGGGTGTCGCCGTTGCTTTTGTCTCTCAGCCTTTCTTTCCTGGCAGTGTTGGTGATGGAACCCAGGGCTGTGCAGCTGAAGTCCTGCTTTGTTTTCCAGGCTGCGTTTGAAGTACAGAGTAGCTGGCCCTGCAGGGGTGTGCCATTGTGCCTCTGCTTTTTGGTTCTGTGTTTAGCTAATTATTTTTCCATCTGAGGTCCTAGCACCTTTGAAGCACCCGCCCTCCATCCTGTACCATCTGTTGTACCTTGGTGGTGCTGTCATGTACTTACTTCTTGGTCATTCGTCTCGTTTCCTGATGTCAGCTTTTAGTATAATAAAGGGAAAGTGCTGGCTGTATAAAACTACTATCGCCAGAAGAAAATCCGAGTGATGTTATTTTTACGCAATATGTGAAATATACCAAATCTTAGAGTTAATGATCTCTGTGTCATGATGTGATACATAATTTAGGTCAACTTTTTGGGATTTTATTATAGCAAAAAATAGCAAAACCATTTTGAAATCAGAAAAATGGTAAGATACTTAGAAGTGAAAACAACCCATTTCCCTCACCTCATTATACCTTTTCTATTGTCAGAATGGTTACACTTTTTTTGAGGGATGCAGTCTTCATCCATTTTCTGTAATCTGGAGTAGTAAATGAAAAAGTAGCATGATGTAGAAAGTAGCAAGATGGCTTTCAGAAAATAGATTTTATAGCAGAATGGAAATTGCATCAAAATTAAGGGATATTTTTCATCTTCGAACTCTTGTGATCTCTGTCCTCAGACCGTAGGGTAAGGAAGAAGACCGCAATAGAATTCTTCCTGGAAGGAAATACAGTGAGAAATTTTAAGATTCTTAATGACTCTCTTGAAGAAACTAAGTATGGCTAAGAAGTGTTTAAGAATACATGTAAATATTTTTCCCTAGTTAGGAAATACTAATTTTCTTCAGTGAGTTAATAAAACTAACATTGCCTAAATTGTTGCTATATGCTGATGATTGCCTTGTTTTATTTGGACCATACCCATTTAGGCCTCATAAAAGTTCTATGATGTAGGTTTTTGCTTTATTTCTATTTTGACAGGTGATATAAAGGAGGTGAAGAGAGAAAACATCCTTTGTTCTTTTTAAGTTTTTATTGGTACATGTTTACAGTACATAATGCTTATATTCCTTGTGGAATTCACAGACTTTTACCTACATAGACGTGGAAACAGTGATATGTTTGCTTGTATGTGTATGTGTGTGTGTGCAGATGTATTTCCTAGGTCTGTTACCAAAGATTGAGAAGGATTTATAATACCTTAGCTGTTGAATACACAGCCCAGGTCTTGATTTCTAAATGCTCTCATCCACTAAGAGGAGCAAGGGCTCCTTTGGAGAAATAGTTGATTCTGGGACTGGGATGGGGAGAGAACATAAATTTGAGATGCATTGTTGCACTAGCAAGTGAGGAACTGCTCAGAGAGTCAGGGGACGTGTTGAGAGTAGCCAGCCTGAAGGGGCTCCGGCCAGACAAATCAAGAACAATTAATTTGAGCTGTAACAGAAATAATGCAAGTATTAGATACAAACTCATTGGGTTAAATGGGGGGAGAGCAAGAGAGCCACACACACACACAGTGAGTAGGGAGGAGGGAGGGACGGACACACACACACACACACACACACACAGAGATATGTAGAAGTGAGGTGAGGGTTGGAAGGAATCTCAGCAAAATGACAAAGGGAATAAAATCAGAGTGCAGTCAATACCTCAGACATGAGAGGCGGGAAAGAAGAACTACTTCACCAGCTGAGACTTGCATGTTCTTAAAAGTACACACATGGATTACTGACACCTGTTTAGCTCTGAGTTTGTGTTTAAAACCTCTGTGAATAGGTTTTCCCTTTTCCAGACTACATTTATCAGACTCGCCACCCCCCTGGAAGAAAGTACTCTTGAACCATTTTTCTACTCTTAAGACCCTCGGCAACCCTTTTCATTGTAGGGAGGAGAGAGGAGAAATTTCAATAATAATTTCATCTCGCAGCTCCTCTGCAGTTTCACATCAGCAGTTTTTCGAGATTAATGAAATTATTTTCCTGTCTGGGTGAAAGAAATGTCCAGAATCCTGGCTGTGCTGATTCATCACAGCTGCCATGGTCATTTTGTCATTTCACCCTGCCCGTACGGTTCCAGGGTAGCGGTGTGACAGATACTGGCCGACCAAGTCTCTTGGGTTTCAGAAATGAGATTTGTCTCTTCAGATATCAGAGTTGTTATTTATAGGTAAGATTTTTTTTTCTCCCTTCTCAGGGAAGAATTGTCAAAAATGGACACTTACTAGATTATTAGTGTAATTGTGACAACCTGGATCAGGTTGATTATTGCAATAAATTTCTCATACAGAAATTTCTCATATAGAAATTTTTGGCCTTTTTTTGTTTTTAAATCTAAAGTTTAATAATAGTGTGAGTCCTGAAGGTGAGGAATTTTCAGTTGAGTAGAATTACTCATTTGTTAGAAAGTTTCAAAAAGCACAGAACCTCTGGTTCCCATGGCTAATGCTCCTCTGTTACCTATTTTACCATCATTCTTTTCTTTCAACAAAGAATTGGGGTATTTTGACAGATGTGTAAAAAAAATTTCTGCATGTTTAATTCCAGTTACCCAAAGACTTTAAAATGTATGTGAAAAATTTCATGAGAACTTCAAATGTATTGGTTCGTCTTTACGCCTTTCAGACACGGAATCGATTTGAAGGAACAAGGTCGGAAGTGGAAGAGCTTATGAACAAAATCAGACAGAATCCCAAGGACCACAAACGAGCAAGTCAGTTCACAGCAGAAGGCTACCTGTATGTCCAGGAAAAAAGTAAGTGGTTGTTGAATGCTGCTGGCCAGCTGGCCACAAACCCACCCAGCCCTCAGCCCTTGGTCCCTGTAGGTTCTATACCTGTGGTTTCAACTGAAAATGTTTGAGAGAAAACCAAAAAATCACAAGTCACTGTGTGTACTGGGCACGTACAGGCTTTCTTCTTTTTCCCCTAAACTGTATGGTGTAACTATTTCCATGGCATCAATATTGTATTAGGTGTTTTAAGTAATCTAGAGATGATTATTTAAAGTATATAGGAGGAGGATGTGCAAATACACAGCCATTCTATCTGAGGGACCTGGGAATCCAAGGACTTTGGTATGGGAGGATGGGTCTTGGACCCCGTCCTCCACAGACACCAGATGACTCTTTTCTCCACCCCCTCCCCTCCCATCCCCCTCTTCCTCCCTCCAAATGAAATCTGCTATGATCTGTAACCCTTCTGTCTTTTTCTTCTCCTAACATAACCTAATTAACTATCCTGAAAACTAAATGCATTCCTTTTAAATGAGTTCTTTTTCTTCTCCTCCCGAGTTTGTCATTTGTGATTTGCAGAGATACAAGGTTTATTCATTTGTGTGCTTGTGTAGGAAAGTTGTGATAGTAAGTGTCACTGCTCTTTAAGAAAATGGCTTCACTTGGTGAAAGAAAAAATTGTCACCCTCTGTTGAGTCTAATCTGAGACTCATGATCATTAGATTTTGTTTTCTTTCTGGAAATTGAATCCAGGGACTCACACATGCTAAGCAAATGCTCTGCTGCAGAGCTGTATCCCCAGTTCTGATGGCTGGACTTTTACTGGCATGTAGCATTCTAGATGTTGGGGACCCCTGACATAGGCCGCTGTCCTCTAAGAGCTCTCTGACTGTAGAAATAGTGACTTGCTAAGAAGAGTTAAAAGGGGCTTCTGACAGTGTTCTGTGCATGTAGCGGCCGCTCATCACTGTTTGTCTTATGTTCTTTTTCATGTCCCCCTGCCCCCGACTCTGACTCTCCGTCTTACTCAGACTCCCCTGTCTGTCTGACTCTGGTTCTTATAGGTATTCACACTGAGGGCTTGTGCAGGGTAAGCAAACACTTTGTCAAGGTTCCACCCTTAGCCAAACATACTTCATTTCTAAAGCGCTGTTTTCTGTAGCTGTTTACTAGGGTGCTATTAGTAGGTTTAAAGCCCTGGGTGGGCTTCTATTCGAGATGCTTTTACTCAGCACTGTAATTCTGTACTTCTGTTATTTTGAAAAGCTGGAACTGAACATCGAATCATCACATACATTGAATGGAACTTTTGAAACTCTTGTGAGCTTATAATACCTAGAAACAGACAAAAGTAGAGCTTACAATTAGGATATTTTCATGCATGAGATACTTGTTGTTTTTTCTAGTACATTTTAAAAATAAATGTATTTAAATCACTTCTGTGTTGCCGAAAATACCTCAAAATCATGTCTGAAATGATTTCTAGGGATCATCTTATTTCTCCTAGTTTCCCCTTTGATTAGATCCACTGTTATTGCGGGTCTGTACTTGTTACTGTGTATTGGCTTTGTCTTATGCAGATCTGTGTCTGGAGCTCTGTGTGTCTGCTTATTTATGAGGGAAAATACAAAGTTCTGTTTTTTTTTTTTTTGTTGTTGAAGGGCCAGCTCCTTTCGGTTCCAGTTGGGTCAAACACTACTGCATGTACCGGAAAGCGGCCAAGAAGTTCAACATCATCCCCTTTGAGCACAGATCTGGGGGAAAACTTGTAAGTATTTGCCTTTCCTCTATATCTCTGTGGGAGAGATTCTTTGGGGTATTCATTGTAAGGGTTTATATTCACTAATAATATGTTCTGTGTTTTAAGGATTGAAATCCTTGGTTTTTTTTTCTGTTTTTAGATAGGCAAGAAAACAGTAATGCTTAGGTTTTTTGAATTGCATACATGGGTCCAGTTGTTTTTTTTTTTTTTTTAAAGAAAGCAGTGGAAACCTTTTATGTCACTGTCGGTAGAAGGTAAAGGTGACATCTTCAGTGAGCCTTTGTGACTCGTAGCAAGCTTGAAGTACTCTTCTGCTAATTACACAGGAGTCTGACTTGCACCTGCATTGTCTGTTCGTCACTTGATCTATAATGAATTTCGTATTCATGCCAGTAGAGGTAGAAAGTTCTTACGTGGGCATGCTCCATTCAGTTGACTACTTTTCCCAAAGAAATTAGCAGCAAAGTGAAGCATGATAAGAAGAAGAGAGCAGGACTGCAGGAATTGGCTGGTAGGAAAGAGTCTTCATATATGTATTAAGTAGAGCTTGTAGCTGCTCACAGTGATGGTGGTCGGGAGACAGAGCTCCTCTCACTAATGATGGATGTGACTAGGTAAACGTGCAGATACATTCGCTTCTATGTAGACATATGTTGCTCCTTCCTGAAATATACCTAAAGCAGGTTGTAATAAGAACACACTGAGATAAAGATGAAATGCTCATAAAAGCAGGGTCATGGGGAAGGCATGAAGCCGGGGAGCACTCCTGCAGGCCAGTCGGGTTAACACTGAGCCCTGAATCTGAGTTTGCTGTAAGAGGGGATCCACATTCTGAGCTCTTTCAGTATGGTGAGATCACTGGCTTTTAGACTCCAAAAGCTAAAAAACCACACACACGTCGGAATGTAGCTGTGATATTTGGAATATAGCTATGATTTCTGAGTATTCTGAGAACCTAGAAAATATTAAAATGTTCTGGAAGTATATTCTTAGACTTCTGAGAGTTGTTCTTTACTGGACACCTTTCTGCCTGAGTTGCTAGTTTCCTGTCTTCATCCCCTTATGCTTGTAGAGGAGATGGGTTAGTCAGGTGAAGTAGTGTTATAGTAAAACAAATTTAAATTCAGAGTGATTGATTTAGGAAACAGAAAAACTGTGCAGATTGTAGGTTTAGATGATCATAACACCTGATCTAAGGCCCTTAGTGTACTTTCAGGTTGATCCAAATTCATATGGAACTACAAACTTTGGGAGATAAGTTCTTGCTCTGTTACCTCTGTTCAAGGTTGGCCTTGAACTCCTGGGCTCACGTGATCCTCAGCCTCCCTAATTGCTCGGACTATAGTATCTTCCACCATTCCTGGCTTGAATTGCAATTTTTATAGGTCAGAAATGGCCATATATTGACTGTGACATATGGTGTGGTGTAATATAAAGTGAAAACAAATTTTTACTCTTTTTAAAAAGTGCAGTGAGAGAATAACATTCTAGTATCTTGCATCTGTGCTACTGATTTACCTTTTAAACTTTGCACTGGTGAAGTCTGGTTTAATATTAATACAGTCAGAGAAAGATCTAGAAAACATTAAAAGCAGGAGAATGACCAAAAATGATTAAGACTTGGATTCTAAATAATGATTAAATAAGCTAGTTTGAAAGAAAATGAGATAGAAGGAACTTGAAAGAATTTGGGTGAAGAGAAAAGACTTACAGTCTTGAATTATGGCTCCCCCAGGATAAGTGGCTCAGTGTAGAAGTGCTTACACTGTATTTCTGAGGACTTTAACCTTATTATTATTTTTTAATTTTCAGGGGGATGGAGAGGTGTTCTTTTTGAAAGAATGTACCAAAAGGCATATGGACTCAATTGACCGAAGGTTTTGTTTTGACATAGAAGCTGCTGACCGGTAAGTTATTACAGCTCTTGGCTATGATGAAAGAATGAGTTTAACATATGATCAACAAGTGGAATTGAGTCGCAGCTGTGATTTCCATGGCCTGGGAGGATGTCATCTTGTCAGGCTGTGGGTTCATTGTGCTGTGTAGTCCTGGCTGATGCGTAGAGGCAGATGACAGCTTCCTGGTGGCTAAGATTTAAAGTCATTCTAACTTTTTGTCACTTGAAAGAGTAACCGCAGTGCATTTCATTGTTGATCTGAGATCTGATTTGTGGCAGGTGGAGGGCAAGAAGGGACGGGGAGGAAGTGGATGGCAGAGCTAAGAAGGAGCGGTAGTAGCAATGACAGAACCATGTTCATTCTGGGGTGTATTTTCAGTGTGTGTATGCTGTGACGGGTGGTCTTACACAGACCCTCTCTGTTTATTCAAAGACTAGTTATTTCTTGTTATTGGAGGACTTTTCTTTCCTTGTAACAGAATCTGGTATCAGAGAGGAGGCTGTGTAAGAAGAAGAAGGTTCATCCGTTAATGTTACTGTTGCCGTGTTCTTCACTGGTGCTAAGGAAATCGTGGTGCTCATAGAACATTTCTTTTTTAATCAAGCCAGAGAGTGGTTCCTTGGCAGCCCTGGTTTTGGCAGCAGTGATTTTTAGATAAGACCTTTTCATGTTTGCATAATAAAAGCTTATGAGACACGATTTTTAGAAGCACAGCATTAGTTCAGGTCAGAATCCAAGAAGATGGAAATAATTAAAGCTGCTTTTAGATGTTGTAGCTGAGGGGGAACAAGGAGGAAAGACATGTGCTAAGAAGGAACTGAAAGAATTGATAATCAGGTACGTAAAAATGTGCCTTCAGAAACCATGACAAAGTTGACACCGCCAAGGAAAAGATAAGTAGGGGAATAAGTGTTTGACCAAGATTGAGAAAGAAGGAGCCGGAGTGTCATTGTTAATTGGTTCCAGGAGGCACGACGAGCGCCAAACAAGTTGTTTTGGCTGGAAGGCTAGCGAGCCTAAGCAGTGGGTGGTAGGAAGCTCCAGCTTACACACACAGAGGACGGACACCGGACAAAATTTTCCTGGTAAAATATGTCGAGTTTCAAAGAAGTTGAGTAGCAAGATACAACTCTATTGGTAAAAAGAGGTTAATATTTAATTCCAAAAGAACCTGCTCAAAAACCAGAAGAGGAGCTTCAATCTGTATTATACAACCTGAGCACAGGCCTGCAGGTTAGCACGAGCTAGCTTTTCTGGAGTGTGGAGCCGGTGTGTTGTCTCATTTCGTCCTAACTATACCTCTACCTGCAAGATGTGATCCTTTGCTTTATGCTGAGAGCCTGAGTGATTGGGTGAGTCTGTGAAGGTCATGCAGTTGTTCAGTGGAAAAGCTGAGATTCAAACCTCTGTATTTGGCCTCCAGAGGAAGAGCTCTTAGCACTGTGCTGTAGGCCCCAGCAGATTGCTGTGGGATTAGGGTGCTTCTTAAGTAATTAACAAAGGTGAATCTGCAGCATTATTATAAAAAATGGTAATGAGGTGAATTAATTTTGTTTTAAAAGCAGGATATTTCTAGTCCTTTCATAATTGTTTTCAAGCAGTTTATTCTTTTTTCCTAACCCCATGTTTTATGTGAGACTTTGATCATGCTAAATGCTTTTTCTTAAGCACAATCCTTACTATGATTGTAACTATTCTCTATTGCTCACAGAGATTGGGGAGAGATTACCTAGGGGTTATTTTCACATATAAAAACTAGTATCTAATAAGTAAATTCCCATAACTAGTGAGGAACTAAAAGATGATCTTTTCTGGTGGTTTTCAAACTGCTTTATGGAGAGATTCTTTTCAAGCAAAATTTTACATTTATGTGTATGTAATACAGGAGAAAAGAAAACTTCCTAAGCAGAGTGAGAAGGTCTGTGTCCCCACCATTCCAGCTGCTGCTGCTTTTTCTTGTATAATCTCCCATTTGTTTCTGTTGCCATTCAGAGGTTTTTGTTCTATTTTGTGTTTGTTTGTTTGTTTGTTTGTTTGTTTTTAATGGGAATTCCTGGCCATGGGATGTGGGACATAACCTCTTTGAGGTGGTTAAAGGAAGGTATGCCAAGGCTGTGATGTGTCAGCGGATAACTGAATGGTTATTTTGAGCCACCCTGGTAGGGGATGATCCATGTGAGGGAGATTTTTAGACGTAAACCAGATGCAGGAATGTCTCAAAATAACCTCTCCTACCTAACTAGCTTTTTTAGTTTTTTACATTCCTTCACCAATTCCTCCTTTCTCAGACCTCTTGATTTTGGAGTTCCCTGGGCTCAGTCCTTAGACCTTTTTTCTTGACTCTCATTCCCTTATCCAGCTTCAGAAGTTAAGTGGCACCCATATATTGATACCACTCAAAAATTTATTATCTCTTACCTGCATTTCAGATTCTTTATATCCAGCTGCCCACTGGAATGTCTAATAAGCATTTCAAACAGTGCCAAAATTGGGCGGGGTGTATTGATTGGTTTTTATAAAATTTTCAAGAAAAATTATTTTTGGTGGTTCTGGGGATTTACCCATGGCCTCATCAGTGCTGTGTAACTGTTCTACCATTGAACTGTACCCTCAGAACTCGTTAAATTTTCATGGGGAGGTAGACTGTCTATGTGGGATCCAACATCTTATGTAGGTATACCGATTTAATCTTATTTAAAAACGAATGTGCTTTTAAAGCAATGTGTGCTTAAAGTTAGTTTTGCCTTTTTCTAAAGCTCTTGGGTTAGCTTGAGTTATTCATAATACGGTATTCACAATAGATTTTCTTTGTGACTTCCTTTGGTCTTCAGAGTCAAGCTACTTCTTAAAATTTGTGTTGCTTATTGTTGGTTATTTTTGGTTTACTCCGTAATTTCTGGGCAGCAAAACATCTGCTGTTACCAGTGGATAGTGTTTGGGATCCTGGGTGGGTAGGAGCCACTTCTTCCACTGTTGGTGCTTCCTCTGCTTGTGGAGCGTTAGTGCCTAGTAGGGTCGGCTTGAGGGTGAATGTACATCAAACTGTAATTGTGGAGCTTTGAAGCCCTTAATTGGTGGGAAATTTGAAATCAGCTCTCTTCTTTTCTGTTTCCCTCATTCCTGGCCAGACAGACCACTAGGCATTATAAGTAATTTGTTCTTTGTCTATTAGATTATGAATTCCAAGAAAGAAAGAATTCTGTCTCATTTAGCACTGCTTGGCTCTGTAATAGCAACTGTAATGCTTTATTTATGATGGACATCCACCGAATTTGTCCTGGATTAAATGTAATGGAATTGTTGCTCACAAGTGACAGAACTGGTATTAGATTCAATCAAGCAAGTGTCAGTCAGCCATCCTTTTCTTCTGTGCTGCATTGCTATAGCACAAGCTCTGAGGTTTTTATTCCACTTAAAGGAAAATACATTTAAGCCTGTTTTTGAGTGTGTGGATTTTGTACATGGGTTTCTGATGGGAGTTTATACAACGTTTCTGTTGGGACTTTTTGTATAGCAATTTCACAGTTGATTGCATAGGTTTCATATAAAGAAACTTTGTCTTCTTTCCAAGAGTCCGTTTTTGCTGTTTTTTTTTTTTTTTTTTTAGTTATGACAGAAGAGCAGCTAGGTAGCATTGGATAGTAGGTGATATTTAATAAGGGACAGCGTAGCTCTGGGGCTTGTATTTGATCTGTGCATATGTAAATCAAGAGCTTTCCTTAACTGTGGCATTGGTTCAGCTCAGGTTTGATTGCCTGTAACAGGAAAAGTCACTGTGCCTTAAACAGTGTCAAAGTTTATTTTTTTACTCATTTGGGAAGCTGGAGTCAGCCAGATCAGGTTGCACAGAAGCTATTTTGGTGTCAGATTTTGCTTTCTCTTGGGAGTGGCTCACCTTCCCAGATAGTTCAGCTCCAAGAAGCCTGTTTCTCTTCATCATATAGCACTGACTTTGGTCGCAGGAACTCTTCCGGACGTTGCACACGTGACCTTTGCCCATACCCCTTTGGCCTGAACAACGTCGTATACGGTTGCACCTCATTGCAAGGGAGGCTTGTACATCTTTAGGGTAGAAATTGCTGTCATGTTTCCGGTGTCCATGGGCTGATCTAATTCTTAGGGGATGTACTACTGACAGCAAAGGGGAGATGACTAGTCTGGGGTGGGGCTGGGGTCTACAGGTCAATATTGTCTCATTAGTTCTTGGATGGATGTGTGTTTCATTTTATTCTCCCTCATTTCACTAAAAGGTTACTTTGAATATTTTCTTAGCTAAGAGGTAGTATTTAAAAATTTGTGCTAAGAACACTATTAAAAAAGCAAGAAAAAAGGAAAACAAAAACCAGAAAACCCAAATCAGTCTATGGAATGGGAGAAAATATTTGAAAATCACATATCTGATAAGGGACTTATTTTCAGAATATATAAAGAACTTATAACAATAATAAAAATATATGAATTTAAGTAAGCAGAAGGTATGAACTAGGTATTTCTCCAAAGAAAATACACAAGTGGTGAATAAATGCATGAAAATATGTTTAATATCATTAGCTATTAGGTAGATGTACAGCAAAACAATGATAAGATGCCACTTCTTGCTTTTGTTTTTTTTTTTGTTTGTTGTTTTTTTGGGTACCGGGAATCGAACTCATGACTTTGCATTTGCCAGGCAGGCGCTGTGCCACTGAGCTAAATCCCCAGCCCCCAAGATGCCACTTCTTACTTACCTGGACAGCTACATGTCAAAAGTCAGACATTCACAAGTTTTGGCAAAGATGTGGAAAAATGGGAGCTCTTAAACACGAAGGGTGGGAATTTAAAATGGTGTAGCGCCTTTGGAAAACAGTTTGGCAGTTCTTCAAAAAGTTAAATATAACACAGCCATCTGATCCAGAAATTTTACTTATAGCTATATATTTGGGAAGTAAAAGTATGTCTGTGCGAAAACATGTACATGAGTATTCATAGATGAATTATTTATAATAGCCAAAAGATAGAAACAACTTGAA